GAAGAAGTGGATGAATTATATATTGTTGAGAATTAAGACAGGAATTTATATTACTTTTTAAGAGCTGAATCATGTGTTTTATCAGTAAATATAAAGAAAAAATCTATATTTTCCCTCATATTTGTCTTGTTGAATGTCTTCTCATTCTGGAAATAGAAAAGTACATTTATTAAATTTAAATATGTATATGATATTTTCAATAAAAGAAAAGCATTGAAAAGATACCAATGTCAGTCATTATAAAACTTCTGTTTAGCATAAAGTTTCATAACTCAAGAAGAAAAAATTAATCAAACTGAAATACATTTTTAGTTCATGCTGAAATCAATAAAAAAACGTCTTGGCAACAAATGTATGTTGTTTTAAAAATACAAAATATAAAGAAATTACGCATGATGTCATTTCTCTTGGAGAATGTTTAAAAAATCATAAATCTTGATTAAATAATAAACATTCATGCCAACTTTTCAAACTCTTACTGGAGGCATTGTTAGGCAACTGAGTATTGTTATTATCTTTGTCTTGGAGAATGTTTAGAATTTAACATACAGTATTGTATACTTAAAGCATGAATGTTCTGATATTATTCCTATTATCTTTGTCATGGAGAATGTTTAGAATTTAATGTTTTTCAGTGTCATTAAGTATAACGAATATCTCCATCTTGAAAATTCTAATTCTCTTATATGAACAAATCTTTATGATCTGAATGTGTAAATATTTTGTGTCAGAAAGGGCTGATACCTACTCTTCTCAACAGCAATTAAGTTTTGGTAATATCACACTGTCCCCAAAATATCAACAATGATGATGTGATACATGCCATTCCACAATAACTTTATATTGGCTGTGGTTGTCATGTGACTTGCTAATTTACATATTCACACTTGATTTAATTTAAAGTATTCAACCCTTTTATGTTTACCAAGAAGAACGAGTAGAATTCAAAACATAACTACATTCGCTTGAAGAAGAAAGCCTAACATTTGAAGCCACCAAAATTGTTGGATTTGTAATGTTATCTTTATAAACTTTAACAAAAGATCTTTAAATCATCTTAACAATAAATATCTATGTTCAAGGGTAAGGCTCTTAACAAAAGTATGTCTATGTTTAAAAATACAAATACCTCTTTAAAGATCATAACATGCCGAAACAGATTCTGAGGGTCTTTGTGACTGGTCTTTCACTATGACTTATAATGATGCTCAAGCAAACGTTTCAGCTCATGATTGTGATATCTAAGTGACAATACTTTGTTGAGCAGATTAGCTCGCTGTGTTAGGGTTACACTGAAAGAGAGAAAACATTCACATTTTTAATATTGGCAGTTAAGAGTAAACTGAAATTATGTGTATTATATATGATTAGTAAAGAATTTCTGTATATGTAGAACTTTAAGAATTATTTAAACATTTTGGTAATGTACTAACACATGAATATGTAAAGATTTTATCATCTACTACAAAAACATAATAGTTTATGTTTTAGAATATAAAAAGTTAACAATGCTAGTACTGAACATAACTACAGAAACATTAATGAAATATACTACAGTACAGAGAAATTACTTGTTTCATATTAGCATGGAAATGTACAGACTTACAATACGCTGAACTATAATGACTGAACACATTAATGTTTGGTGTGTAAGCACTTTACTCTTTAAGAGCTGAACACCTCAGAGAAATTACTGATGAAAAAGTATTCAATGTAGAATGTTACACAATTTATAGATTGACTGTTTGATTCTTGACCTCAATTTACAGATTGCTTGGTGGACTCATGACCTCCACTTTATCCGTGTAGATCCATATTCCCTCAATAATGTTCAGATCTGTTCTCTGGGAAGGAGTCTCAGTGTTCCAACTGCCTGTTCCCCTCTTGATAGATCCATATTATGTTAATAATATCAGATCCAAACTCTAAACACAACAAGGTAGAAGTTTTACTGTTCCAACTGTCTATTTTTCTCTTGTTAGACCCATATTACATCAATAATATGAGATCCAAATTCTAAACACAACAAGGCAGAAGTTTTACTGTTCCAACTATCTGTTTTTCTCTTGTTAGACCCATATTACATCAATAATATGAGATCCAAACTCTAAACACAACAAGGTAGAAGTTTTACTGTTCCAACTGTCTGGTAAAACTTCTGCCTTGTTGTGTTTAGAGTTTGGATCTCATATTATTGACGTAATATGGATCTATCAAGATAAAAACAGACAGTTGGAACAGTAAAACTTCTACCTTGTTGTGTTTAGAGTTTGGATCTCATATTATTGATGTAATATAGGTCTACCAAGATAAAAAATCAATAATATCAGATCCAAACTCTAAACACAACAAGGCAGAAGTTTTACTGTTCCAACTGTCTGTTTTTATCTTGTTAGACCCATATTACGTCAATAATATCAGATCCAAATTCTAAACACAACAAGGTAGAAGTTTTACTGTTCCAACTGTCTGTTTTTATCTTGGTAGATCCATATTAAATCAATAATATCAGATCCAAACTCTAAACACAACAAGGCAGAAGTTTTACTGTTCCAACTGTCTGTTCTTCTCCTGGTAGACCCATATTACGTCAATAATATCAGATCCAAATTCTAAACACAACAAGGTAGAAGTTTTACTGTTCCAACTGTCTGTTTTTATCTTGATAGATCCATATTACATCAATAATATGAGATCCAAACTCTAAACACAACAAGGCAGAAGTTTTACTGTTCCAACTGTCTGTTTTTATCTTGGTAGACCTATATTACATCAATAATATCAGATCCAAACTGTAAACACAACAAGGCAGAAGTTTTACTGTTCCAACTGTCTGTTTTTATCTTGTAGATCCATATTACATCAATAATATCAGATCCA